CTATCATGAAGATGATTAGACAATACTTTTATCATTGGCAGAGTTTGCATACAATAATTTGGTACATTCTTCCACTCAACAAACATCTTTCTTTGCCAATTATGGTTATCATCTATAACTTGATACTTTTGACTTTTAAAAAGTTAATAACCATGTGGCAAAAGATTTGGCAAATTGTTTGTTAGAGCTACATGCAATAATGAAGGCATAGTCAAAAGGAGTTCAAGAATGACAAAAGATTAATGCAAATGCCTATTGCAAGAAATAATCTCAATTCAACATAAGTAATAAGGTATGATTACTTTATCATAATATCAAGACTACTTATTCTTGTGACTAGTTGGAATATTCTAAGCTTAGACCTTTTCTTATTTGTGAAGAAGTCAATCTTGTTGCTTATTGATTATAACTACTAAAGTCTATGAAAATCCATCCCATATTCTAGGTGTCTTTTTTAGAGCCATATGAAAAAATGAATATCTTAGAAAGAAGACAAATGCCACTTCTTTCTATAGAAGTGAATAATAATCAAGAATTTGAGGTAGAAGAAGTCTTAGATTTAAGGCGGCGTTGAATAGATTAGAATATCTTGTTCATTTGTAAAAATCTAATGATAGTGAATGCTCATGGGAACCAATAAAGAAGCTTATAAACATAGCAAAGAAGATTGAAGCATTTCATTGATAACATCCATTAAAATCAAAATGATGAATAGAAAAACTTTGTTATAAAAAAAAATAAGATTTAAGAAAAAAAAAATTCTACTTTTTACTCTTATTTGTAACTTATGTGTATTTGTGATGCTAAGGAGATGGAAAACAAACAACCAACAAATTCAACTCAAGAGCTATCACTTACTGACTTATCGAATGACACATTGCAATTGTTACAACCTTCAAGCTGATGTAATTGAAATGAGGATCTTTAAGAACGATATATCATTTGTTAAATAGATGGTAAGATACAACATGGTTGATATTACAACCTTGAATGTTTGATGATTTTATTAGAGGTAGAAATGACTTTTGATAGTATTTCAAATATTTTATTTGAAGGAAGTTATGAAGGCCTTAATAATGATTAAATAACAGGATGGTCTTTCCACCCTAGTATGAGATACTATCAATGATTGAAAGAACCTATCTACCATCTTCGAAGAGAACAAAGATCAAAATATGTTGCAAACACAATCTACTGCATCTTGGATTCCTTCAACATATGAAGACTGCTTCTTATAGAACTTGTCCCTAGAAGAAGGTGTAATATCACGGATATATATATATATATATATATATATATATATATATATTTACTCTATTATCAATCTATATGATTAAGTACAAATAAATAAAAATAAATACATTTCATAATATTTTTTAGAGAAGCTTTCTAAAAGCTTTATAAACACTGCTTTAATTTTACATGTATTTGTAGTTGATAGGTAGGTTAGAAACTTAGTCAATAAATTAATCACATGTGGATAGCTTACGGAATAAGGTAACTATGTGGCGCATATATAGAAAACTTGCCTTGCAAGTTAAGATATGTGACTTGCAAAGTCAACACGTTTTGGAGTTTGTACAAGACATTGCCACATAGCTTCTAATTAAGAATATATGTGGAAGCAAGAGTGAAGCCTTCTTCACTCTTGTCAATGCCTTTCTAGTCCTTAGTCTTGTTTCAAGACTTTTTAGTCTTCTTGTCTTTGGCAATAGCCATTCTAGTTTAATATAATATCATCTTTGAGTGACTTTTTAGTTCTTTTGAGTGACACAAGAGTGTGTTAAGGATTTCTTTCTTCGAGATTCATATCCTTGATATTACATTAAGTATCAAATAATTTTATAAATCAAATTACTAATATGAAAGATAATGGAAATTGAAATGGTGTTAATTTGGCTTCTATTTTCTTAATAAAAAGAAAGGTGTCTATCTATACACAAGATAATTTTATGTTGGATAGAGATAAAGGTTCTTTGTTATAATAAAATTTAATATTGTATATACAAAAGCAAATGCAATTTAGTAACAATTTGGAAATTAATTAATAATTGTTGTAATAATATGTTAGAATTATAGATTTCATGTGAAGTTATCATCTATCTACTCACCTTCTTTACAAGCCTTTATTAAGTTGTAGAAATACCAATTCAATATATGGTGCTTACAAGCTTTAATATTGATGTTTGAGACATTTATTCCATTGTCATTTCTTATCCCTTTAAAGGCTTAGCTATACTTGGCACCGACACCAGCATTCTTAAAGCTTATGTCCTTATTGGTACTTTGATAGCATTATGGTACATTGAAATATTCTCCAAAATGTATAAACCTCTTTAAGAGAAAATGTAGGTTTTTACATTTTGTTGGCTTTAAATTGTGTAGCTTATATTGATCAAGGAGCAATAAAATGATAATTGGTAAATATTTGTTTCAAGAGAGATTATTAGAAAGCTTTGATTTTTTTTTTTTAGATGATTTGTTACAATGGCAATGGTATGCTTAAATAAAGTTATTAATCCATATAATTTAAAGATTTCTAAAGCTATATCTCAATTATATTGTAATGTTGTTTTTATATATTATTCCAAAAGCAAAATAAAGATCTTTTATTTTAATATATATATATATATATATATTGGTTTTTAATGTAATAAATTTCTTCTCTAAGATTCTTTTTTAAATAAATTATAAAAATATTAATATAAACAAACCATTTTTATTTGATAAGTTTAAAATAGATAAAATACTTTAAATTAAAAAGTATTAAAATTAAAATTATTTAAATTAGTTTTGTTAATATAAATAAACATCTAAAATTTTAATTTTATCTTTAAAAAAATATGATAACTACAAATGATAAGATGGTATTTATATTTGTCTTTTATTTTTGGTTTTATTAGAAAATATTTAACAAATGATAATACAATTTAAAATATAAAGATATACTTCAAAATATGATGTAAATATATATAGATTTTGTTATTTTATATATTTAATTAAAAATAATAAGACTATATAAATTGATTCAAAATTGGATTGGAATTTTAAATTACCAAGTTTTTTTATACAATATTTTATTTAGAATAATATATGTATTGCAAGTGCATAGAAATATGTGTATGAATAATATTTAATGTTTTTTTAAAAAAATTCAAGTGCTTTTGATATTAAGTGCACAATCTTAAAAATAAATAAATAAATAAATAAAAGTTGACACTAAAAAATGTAATATAATAATATGAGCTACAATAAAATCATAGTAATCAAATATTAGGCTTTTAAAGTTACTATGTTTAAAAACTAAAGTGAAGAATTATTGATTCAAAATATTATTAAATTTTGGAACAAGTTGAAATATTAATACTATATAATTATCTAAGTAAGTAAAATATAAAAATGTGGTATAATAATATTTTTTGAACAACTTAATCATGTATTTTGATTGGTGTAAATTAAATATATATTAGATGTTATTATATTTTAATTAATTATCTTAAATATATTCGGTTAGATTTAAAACTTATAATAGCAAATAATTTAAGTTCTATAATTATTATTATGATAAGATAAAAAAAATCTAATTAAAAGAAAATTAATCTAATATCTATAATGATGTAAATTATAAAAATATTCTTTTTTAGTTAATTTAACTAATTATTAAAACTTTGAGTTAAATATTTTTTGGTTTTAAAACTTCTGAAATTAAGTTATTGAAGCATACATTTGTAAGAATATCAAAATGAAATATAAAGCTTTGGTTGTTATGTCTTATTCATAATTAGGTTTTTTTGAAGAACATTTATTATTGTCCTTACAAACAATAGTAAATATATTTACACTTTCAAGTAATCATATTAATGATTGGCTATTTGCACTCAATTGAATATATAAATTTTTAATTTTTAATTGAATTCAAAACACATTTCATTGGATATTGTACAAGATGGGTTATCTCTATTGTACATTATTCTATGTTTGAACAAAATAGATTCTAATTTCTTAAAAAGGTTAGCAACTTTCCTATTAAACTACCTATGAAAATTGGATTATTACAACCATTGATTTTAAACAAAAAATCTCTCTATATTTATATAAATATATACTTCCACTAACACATATAGACAATTTTGACACTTCATACATACAAGAGAATGTAAAAATGAAATAACCATACCAAAGAGAAAAACAATTTATAAGACCAATATGATTGTATAAGAGGTATCAAAATTTAACTACAATTTCATTCTTCATACATGGCGGCCTGTTGAGGAGTTTTTCACAATCTTGTTGAAGCACACAATGTCCGCTGAGGTGTTCTCCAATAATGCAGTAATTGTAAATAGTTCACCTATGATTAAAATGTAGATCAAGCACTAAAACCTGTGTATAACACTCATGTTTGCTTGAAGCCTTCCATTACAGTATCATTGGTCTGAATTCCTTTTTTCTATTAAGTAAAATCTTTTATAAGATTGATCCAAAAAAAAAGTGAGCAGTAGTGCATATACATTAATTTCTATTGCGATGTACATTGTTTGTTACATTCATTTTCAAGATGAATTTATGAAGAACCAAATACTACGATAGATAAACAATCCTTTTTTGCAGTGATGAATATTCTGATGAGAATATGAAAGATTTTCACTGTATGAATAACCTCAACATTCTATGAAAAAATAATCAATGTACGATTGAAGTTTCCAAAGAGTCATTCCACACCACACTGAATCAAAATTACTGTACTAGAGCATTATTGTACTAACTGTACAAAACATATGTAATTGGTTATCAGACAGTGAAGCTTAGCAAAATTATTATTATCATCTCCCCTCGATGAATATACTAAAGACTGGATAACTGAGTCATCTCTTGACTTAGCCTTTAAAAGTGTTCAGATGAAGATTTCCTAGTACTGAAAAGACGTCACTGTTGCACAGGAATCCAGCAGATCAGATCACATGCAAATTAGTAGGGAAAGGCTATCTGGAAATACCGGATGAAAAATAAAAGCTCAAGTGGCGCACGTTATCAGGGAATTCTGTTAACCAGTCTTATCCCAAAACCTCAGGATAGCTCCACAACCTGCAAATCTTCAAAAACAAATGTTCGTTTGTATGACATGGATGTCTGCTTAGGTAAACAATGGTGCGGAGAAGCCGTTTCACTGTTTCAACTAACCAAACTACCTTACAGACCAAAGACTAAAGACTGGAACTTAAGGACTACAGGAAAAGATTATCACAAGAAAATACAGCTTAGAGCACTCCATGCCTACCTGCTGGAGCACTACACAGTTGAGGCCTAATTGTGGATATCAGAAAGAGATTTATGTACATACACGTCACTAAACGTCCAACTGACCAGTTGGGCAGGACTAAAATAAGACTGAAAGAGTCACAGGATGTGATAGAAGACAAAGGGGTCTCATGAAACCACCAATGACCACCAAAACCAAATTGATAACATGAAGTAACTTCAGCGAAGTGCTACACAACAATTGAGTGAATGTTATACAAAGAGCGATCTTGGAACCAAGCGATGTACCTCATTGTTCTGTACCAAGACAACGAAACTTGATGAGCAAGCGATCAAAGAGTTTTTTGACAGCGGACCTCTGCAGACCTGGCCTCGAAGTATTGGCTGTCACCATATGCGCACACTAGGTTCTTGTTTCTAGCTGGACGATTGAGCTCAACTTAGAACCTGTACATGGCGAGATGGTGACCTGAAACATATGACGTTGTACATCCTAAAGACATACAATGTTGCCATTCGAGTTCTGTACAAATGTCGCATGCATCGTATGGTCTTTTCGTAGAACCCTGACTCTCGACTCAATACGCTCTCCCAAACAACACTCTACAATTATAATGAGAAACCCTGAAAGAATTGCACGGACCAGTTGCTAAAACTCAGAAGAAATTCCATAGTTCTGTCTGCGTCTGCGAAGATTTTTAAAAAGAATGAATCTTGAGAGACGGCAGAGAGTTAGAAAAGAGCTTCATAAGGCTCGTCCCAGACTTCTGCACTGCCGTTCGAAGCATCCTCGCCGTCTTCTTCCATTGAAAGTCGACTGTACTCCATGTGTGCAAACCGGTCCCACTCCGTCAATGATGGGTCCTCCCTCTCCTGTTCAAGAAATCCAATTACACGAGAGCTAATAAATCACCAAAATCCCACAATAAGTGTGTAATTATGAGTCGAATTCGACATGCACACTCGTCTTCTGACTGACCTTGAGCACCACGAGAATGTTCGCATACACTATTTAGATGTCAAAGGTTACACAGTGATCCACATGATGTGGAGCCCCGCTGCGAAAAATAAGATTTAGTTCATAATTGTGAATAATGAACTGGACACTCGCTTTATGACCAACTAAGAATTGAAATCCAGGTTTTCGATATGAGTAATGTAATACCTGACGAATGAGAAAAGGGTCACGAGTCTCAAATGCTACGAACTTGTTCAGGTTGAAGAGAATATTGAAAAAATTCCCAGATAATTTACACCGCTTCAGGTCACGAAGTGTCAATTGTCCCTCTTTCTGCAGTGAAGGGTAGATGTCAACAATACACCCATGCTAAGTACCGACCAATTCATTGAACACTAAAGCAACTCAAGGAAGAGAATGAACTTGTACAAATCTTCAAAAGCAAATGCTTACCGCTGGCCCTATCATGTCAGCCATTTGACAAACAACATCTTCAAAAAGAACAGGCTCCTGAGCCATACACTCCATCCGATGAAGTTGCTCCTCGTAAAAATATTGCATCTCATTCGGTGTAATCACACCATCGCAGTCCAGATCCACACACTTGAACCTGCAGCAGGTATGCATAAACATCAATTAGATTGTATCTTGGTTTTTCTCCGCAATCCTCATGCTCTGGTACTACCAGCGATATCTTCTTTTTCAATTGAGAGCGGAGATAGAAAAAAACTGAATTCATGAAACCATGACTAAAGATACAGAACATGTATGCGGGTTGTATAAAGATGCATACCAGTACTCTAAGCTGGGTTCTGAAGATTTGTCCTCTTCTGAAAGTATAAACCACACAAAGTCTTCATAACCCATCTTTCCCTTAACTTTGCTGGTGAATCTTTTTGGAACCTGACATCCACCACGTATTACATTCAAATCCTTGAACGGAATTAGAGTGTTACTTTAGCACTATAGAGAAGACACTCTCACTGTTAAATCGGATCGAGTGCAAATTTGAAAAGCTGAACCTAGTTTTACATCGAAATGCACCTGAGAAAAGATGCGCTCAACGATTCGGTAAGTGAGCGCATGGTTTTCATATCGAAGGAGATCATCCTTGTCTATGAAAAAGTCATGATCTGAATCTAGTTCCCAGAACTTGCAATATATGACGTAAAAATGCTCATACGAAAAATACCTGCACACAGCGTTCAAAATAATCTTGAAAACTCAATTGATGGTAAAAAGCTGCACTCTGTTGAGAAAATGAAAAATATCGACAAAAAAATCAAGTCAGGGGATCAAACAACGTGAAAGAAAGGTTGATCGGAGTTGACACTTGCCGCAATACTTTGTTGATGTCTTCCTCTTCATCCACTTGCTGAAGAGCAGTAATTAAGTTACTCTTTTTCAACTCTTTCAGTTGAATCCGGCCATTCCCCGCTTTATTTACATGGTAGAATATTCTGTAGATCACAGTTTCCGCTGTCCATATCATACGAATCGCAAAAAATCAGGATGCGATGTAAAAGAAGAAATAAGTAATTATTACTGAGAAATTACTAGATCAGTTTATGAATCATACAGACATTGAATGGGTGGATTGCAAGTCCAGATTAATTTAAAAAAAAAAAAAAAAAAAAAAAAAAGGGGAACAGAACATACCATATCTGTCTTGAAACTCCGGGGAATCATGTAGGAACTCTAGACCGCGATGCGTCAATAGCAGCTCTCTTAATATGGGCCTAAAGTCCTCCTGCAAAGAGTATAGATACAGAATTCTCAACTGTACACGAACAAAACAAAGAGAGACCAAACGCACAATGCTAACTACAGCATCAGACAGGATGTATATGTTGAGAACCAACCTGGATGTGAAGGAGAAGACTATAGACAGATTATAGGGACCGAGTCCGGTCAAAGTCCTAGAGACGAACCTGTCTAAGGAAATTCTTGTCTGGTTGCTTCAACAAAGTAAAAATGCGAGTTGCAGTGTTCATAGCCAGCATATTTTGGTCCACCCAATATTCTATGAATTTCTCCCTGTGAAAGTTTAAAGTCATAGATTATTCAAGAATTTCTCTAAGCTGCAGATCATAGTCCAATCAATAATTCAAGTGAGAACGCAAAACTCGTAAAGATCACTTGAAGTCAAAACAAAGGATTGGACAGTTCAAAAATGCTGAAATGAAAACTAGCAGAAATAGAGAGGGAAGAATGAATAAATGAATGAATGAAGAAACCAATTAGCAAATTGAGTTTGATGTAATCATGTCCCTTTTGCAGGCAGCATGACAATATCAGCATATGGTGCCCATGCAAAGTGTATCTGAAATAAAACAGCGATGAAATAATCTTAACCTTGTAACAATGCCAGAATTGTTGACATCGATCCTTTTGAATAAAGGACTAGAAAAGAAGGAGGGCAGTTTGCAGACATCCTTAGTGACGGTTGTAAATGCTGCGCATTGTCAACAATAAAAAAATTCTTACGGAAATTCTGATGTCAATGGGTTCCAACAAAGAATAGACAAGCAACTACAGAGAAATCCAGCAAATCAATCGGAACGCCCAGAATCTTAATCCACAGATAAGACTACTGTTTCTGCACAACTCTGATTACAGTTGAGCTGATGTAAAAAACCATCTCGCGAATAGACAAACCTGCCAAAGGAAGACCTTCTGGAAAGGCTCCAAATATCTGGTTTATTCGAGTCATACATGAATCGATAGTGTCCTTCGATGGCGGAGGGCCATTTGGAAAATAAAACTGCGAAAAGAAACCCAAATTGCAACTAACTTCAGTCTTCCACAACACATAATCTCGTCGATTCTTGAGAAGTCGCTCCGTTAACTTCATGTACTTCCCAATACAAGAAAAAACTATGTATGCCTTGATCAGTCAAGCTGCGCCTAAGCCGTAACACTCCGACCAAAGTTAAACCATACATAGGTCGGATAAATCAGATGCATGTCAAAGAGGATACGTGCATTTATGTTGCGCAAAGGAGATAGTGCCGGGGCACAAAGTGATAGATAAAGTTTGGAATATAACCTGCGGTATAACTTCTCGAACAGGTTCACTACTCTTCTTCAACGGAGAGTCTCGTATAAAGTGGCTAGGCCCAGCACGTCTGCTGAAAGGAGACCTAGGAGACATTGGGGAGCCATAACTCCGAGGAGACAGAGGAGGGGTGCTCCCTGTACCCCCAGAGAGATGAGCTGGCAAAAGTGATGGTCCAACATTCAAAGGTCCAGATCCAGCTTTTGCTTCTTCCAATAAGTTCATGACCTGCACAGAAGGGGTATAAGATGATGAATGAACAATAAAAAGCTCCACTAAAACTTTAAGCAGGCAGGAAGCAGACAATAGTGTCTGGAATCCTTGAGAGAACTTCAGCTTCTACGGCTCGAGTATTGACCGAAGACATGTTCAAACCGGTTTAAAAACAATATTAAAGGCAAGGGGGGGGGGGGATTCCAAGTATCAATAATACTTTGGGTGTAGATGTTACGAAGTTGGAGTGATGGGTATGAAATGGGTGTGTAATTGGATATATAATACATATCTAATAGGGTAATGTTAACAATTCAGACCTCACATGGAAGGCAATGCGCTTCCTCAGGTCACTAGTGTCACCGGTTGCACAATTTGACATTATGTTGATGAATATGCTGCATAATTGAAGCATTGAAGTTCATGATGAAAGACAAGTTGAAATTGTCGCCGGAAAGAACGTACAATGTCCTTCAGGTGCCTAACCGGAGGAAGAACTACAACAAATGCAATGGCTCGTAGTGATCATGAGACGTGATTCCACTGGGTAATTCTACAGTGCTGGCAGACGAGCACAACTAAGATGTACAAAGGACATCGAGGGCAAACGAAAATCCTTCCATTAGCAGGAGAAAACCTATATTCACTTGCGATTAAAGGAGCCAATTGGAAGCACCAAAGGGACCCCGAAATAAAAATACTGTATGGTGGGCGAATGGAACACTCAAAGAAAATCTAAACGAAATAAACCTTTGCAACTATGACCGTGCTTTCATTGAAGAGTCAGGAAGAGTATCAGAGATGATATATCAGGGAAAATTGAACACTACATGAAACCTACACGCCCTTCTGAGTGGTGCGATCTCGTGCTACTGCGCAATTAATGCTGCGCTCTATATTCAGGAAAGACGGGTTAAAAGAAAAAGATGGCAAGTAACAACAGAGGCTGTTAACTTTAGTGTCCTACAATCAACATCTTCAAAGATACCAGAAGTGAAAAACGTGAATGCGCTTTCACAAAAACAGTTCGGAAAATCTCTAGTGCCCATTCGATCAATGAACATCAGCCTTCCAGGCAATTAGCATCAGCCTTTAAAGCGATTCATGACGATATTCGGTGATGTTCGATGCTTCTCACAGAGCTTATTTTTGAGTTTGTACGGTGCAGGAAAAAGCAGCTGAGCTAGGATGCGTGGGCGATCCGATTAACATGACCTAATGCGATTCCTGACAAAAAGACTGTCATAGTGCAGGCTAAACTGCATCTTAGACACGGGATTACATATCACCTAATGCCACAGTCAAGTCCAACGAAGTGCAACGCATTACAACCCACCCCTACATTCTCAAGTGGCATGCAAATAAAAAAAACTATCGCCCAAATAGAGTCGTCACGCTCCACTCATTGCCACCCCGAGTCCTACAACCTCAATCCCCATCCCTTCAAAAAATTCACAAAACCCTAATGAATCCCATTCACCAAAACGAACGCAAAACCCCAACTCCGCTCAACCCAGCCACCCAAATCCATCCCGAACTAGCCACCCCCCCACCCGCACACCCGCCTCACATCATCAACACCACTACCACCGCGACTCACCAGACGCTGGGCGTCGGGAAGCGAAATCCATTGTGCGTAAAGCTCCTCCAAGTGGCGCTTACAGAGAGCACTTGGCTTGCTAGGATCGTGAGAGAGCAGCGATGACGACGAGGAAGAAGAGGTAGCTGAGCCGCCGCAAGGGAAGTCCGCGGGGAGCTGCAACAGGTCAGGGTCCAGAACGCCCAGGTCTAGTACTGCTACAGGCGGAGGAGGAGGAGGCTCCATCGTGGCTGCTGCAGCCGCAGCTCCACACGGCATGCTGCTCCCGGCTCCAAATGCAAGCAAAAAAGACGATAAAAAAGACGGGGAAAACACATTCAAAAAGAATAATAAAGAAAAAGAGAGAGAGAGGGAGAGAGGGGAAAAAATAAAATAGGGGAGGGGGGGGGAACGGAGGGCTTGAGTCGTTCGTTCGTTCGTTCGTTCTTTGCAAAGTAGGGAGCAATCACACGAGCAGCACACCCTCGCCGAGGATAAGGAAAGGAAGAAGAAAGGAAAGCAACCAAGCACAGGAGAACAATGGAAAAGAGAGATGCTCACGAAGAAGAAGAAGAAGACGAATACTGGCGGAATCCCGCACGGAGATTCATCCATCGATGTATTCATTCATATTTTGTAGGTGGATGAATTTTCCCAGAACTGTCTTCCTCTCCACGTCGGAATTTTTCCTGGTTTGTATCAGGGTGGAACTGTCTTCCTATCCACGTCGGCTCTTTTTTTGCGTCCGGACCGTGGGCTGGTGTTGCCGTGAGGTCCTGTGGCCGTGTCGTCCTGAGCTGTGCTGGCCATGGGGTTGGGGTTGGGTCCCACTTTCCCGACTATAACTGATGTGTGGGTTTCAGATCTTTGTTAGAAATATTTTGTTTTTTTGTTGTTGTTTTTTTTTATTATTATTATTTTTAAATATTTCTTTCGAAAGAGTGTAGTTAGTGTTGTGGGTTATTTTGGATGGATTTACAGACGTGGTTGCTTCGGAATGAAGGGGTAGGGTCAGTCCACCACCACATTGGGACTCACAAGATGACTGGTATAAATATATATAATAAAAAATGAGGTCATTTTAAATTCCCTAACGAATATATATATATATATATATATATATATTAATATTGGAGAATTTTAAAATGAGGTCATTTTAAATTCCCTAAAGACTATATATATATATATATTGGAGAATTTTAAAATGACTTCATTTTTTTACTAAATCAATTCTCCCATCACAGAAAAAAAAAAAAAAAAAAAAAAAAAAAAACTCTAGATTCATTTCTCCACTATTGGATTTGCAACCAATAAAAACCAACCATATTCTTCATCAATGGTGGGTCTATTTTAATAAAAACATGGGTCAATTTAACATTCCCATGTTTCTTGTTCAATTGCAAATTTTAAGCTATTTATTTGTTGTTTTTAGTTTTTTGGCCACCCTGCTTGCTTGCCCCCTGAATTTGGAAGCATGTATGAGTCAAGGGGAGGAGAACTGTAAGGCCCAACAAGAAAGAAAACTCCAAGTAGCCAAAGAAAAACAAAGGAAGAGTCAAAATAAATGTTCTAGAGTTGCATTTTTATGTAAGGGAATGTTAAAGTGACCCAGGTTTTTACTAAATCGACCCATTATCAATATCATCATCACACTCCCTCGTTCCCCGTCCCTGTTCCCCCCGTTCCCAACCTCCCTGTTCCCCCCGTTCCCAACCTCTCTGTTCCTGACGTCCGTCCACGGGCTCCTAGCGGGGCAGCCCATGAAAACGCAACTTGATTGGTTTTAGAAATCGTACAACAGCCCCTCTACCTTGGCATTCAGCGGGTTGAGAGTGTCGAGTTTCGCAGTCATGGCGACCTCCGCCTCCACCGCAGCTACTACATTGGCCGTTGCTGCCCCCTCCTCGGTGGCTGCCTCTCAACACCGTGTCAATGGCTTCTTTAAGGTCTCTGCTTTTCAGGGTCAAAAGTTCGCTGCCGCCTGCAGTGGTTTCTGCCTGCAAAGGAGGCTCCCAAGGGATTCACTCCTCCAACTCTGAACGCTGACACCCTGACGCTAATCTTCGGTGGAAGCACTGATGGTCTATTGCGCAAGGCCTAAGTCAAAGAATTCTACGTCATTACCTGAGAATCACCCAAGGAGCAAATCTTTGAGATGTCCACTAGTGGCACAGCCATCATGAGGTCGGGATCACACCCACACTAAGTTTATCTGGTTGTGCTCTACACAAATGAATAATTCCTTCTTGTTGGGTCTAATATTGTACAGGACATTATAAGGTTTAGTAAAAAGGAAGCTCAAGGTTTTGTAGCTAGACATTGTTCAACATTCTCATGTACAAACAAGAGTTTGACAGCCTTGACCTTTGTTGCATCTTTGGTGTCTGGAAGCCTTCGTATCTTTTTCATGCAAGCTGGGCAGCAATGGCTTCAGCTACTGAGGAGAGAGGGTTGGAGAGTGAAATTGTGTTCTCACCCAAGTTAAGGTCTAACAAAGATCTAACAATGTTTCTGTTTTGGAGTTATGATTTTAATTCAACATGCTTGTGTAATTGGATTCAATCTTGTGAACGATTATGCTTAGCAACGTGCATGATTTTACAAACCTTGAAGAATTGGGTCACAAAATCATATCAATTTGAGAGGAAAAATTCAAGCCAACCTTGATATTAATTGCCTAAGGTTTTGAACACAAGGACATCTAGAAGCAAGATGTTATGATTTGAAAATTGAACTTAGAGTTTGCAGCAAGAGGCATAACTCAAGCCAACTTAGGGTTTTCTATGGCCTTGTGGGATCCCACTAGGTAGACTCCGAGGCTCAAACGATGGATTCAACTTCAATTTTTTCTTTTTTATTTTTTCATAATCTATTTAAACTTTAATAATCTCTAGTCCAACTATTCAATTAAGTTCAAATTTACAACATATGTTGTTATGATGTAAAATGGCTAATAGATGAAAAGGTGAAGAAAATATCATATTTTTGAAGATCTTATTTCAAATATATTATAACAAATTATCTTGGAAAAATAGATAATAGTCAAGGGGAAGAAAAATTAAAGGTGTTAATATTACTTTTTTACAAAATAGACTTCTATTCACTTTGTAGGACCACAAATAGAACAAAATAAGGTAGATTAGAAAAATAAACAATATAAATACCTTTGGAAAGAAGTTAAGAGTAGTTTCCAGCAAAAATTATTTAGAAAAACTAGATATTGATACCTAGAGAGGACCAGTTATGAACCAGGGTCAAAATCAGACCCTGAGGCACAAAATTGGGCTCCGACGACAATTTTGGGGTTTTTTTGGAGATTGAAGGATAATATTTGAGAGTTGACTTCATAGATTTTCTTTAAGTGTTAATTTGATATGATTTGAGTCTATATTGACTCTGTAAGAGCTTTGCAAAGTTGGGGTTTGTTTTGGGTGACTTTGGATTTATAAAATAAAATGGATAATTTTTTTTGGAAAATTTCATAAGTTTAGAAGTAGATCTGCAAGTGAAATTTTGAAGATTTGAGGGTATATATGTGTTCAATATATGTTGTGAGTTTGAGCTAGATTGAGAGGTTGGATCGAGAGTTATTGAGGATTAACTGGGTCAAGGTCTCAAAAAGTAGAGTTTTAGGTCCAATGAGGATTTCTAAGATTTCTTGTAATCTAATAGTTGGATTGGAATGAAAATTTTGTGTATAGATAATAGACTTGTTTTCTTATGTATGTGAGAAATTTAAATCAATTAAACAATTCAATAAGGAGATATTGGCATTGAAAATTCAACATTCAGATTGGAGAAGGAGGCTAGCCAACATCCGAGCAAATATTAGGATTGATCTTCTTTTTGGTGAGTTCGATCTTCTTCAAAAAAAACTATGTTTTTTTTCAATATAATTATCAAGAAGTATGCAAATTTTGAGTTAAAATCAACAATTCATTCATTAATTATTGAGGTTTAAATTTGTTGTAGGAATTAATTGAAATTATTTAGGATTTGACTAGGGTTTGTTTAGGATTTGGTTAGGATTTATTTAGGATTTGGTTAGGATTTTTTTAGGATTTGGTTAGGATTTTTTTAGGATTTGATTAAGATTTATTAAAGATTTATTTATGATTTTTTTAGAGTTTGATTAGGATTTGGTTAGGATTTGGTTAGGATTTGGTTAGGATTTGTTTAGGATTTATTTATGATTTATTTAGGATTTATTTAGAATTTGGTTAGGATTTGATTAGGATTTGTTTAGGATTTGGTTAGGATTTGGTTAGGATTTGTTTAAGATTTGGTTAGGATTTGATTAGGATTTTATTAGGATTTGGTTAGGATTTGATTAGGATTTATTTGAGATTTGTTTAGGATTTGATTAAGGTTTGGTTAAGATTTATCTAAGGTTTGATTAAGATTTATTTAGGATTTGACTAAGATTTGACTAGAATTAGATTATATTTTCACTAGGATTTAATTAAAGTTTCTATTTTAATATTTTATTAAGGTTTTTATTTTAGTATATATTTTTTTAAATTCCTATGTTATTTCTTTATGATTTTTAAAAAGGCTCTAGGAATATTTTGTATTTCTTATATAATTCCTTTGAAATTTTGATTGAATTTGATTGATATTTGATTATATTTGCTAATCTTTAATTCTAATTTGTTTAAGAACCTATTGGAATTGTTAGGGCTTGTTGTTGCAATTTCTCTTTTATCTTCTACAACTAGGTGCTTCGTACATTCTCAAGCCAAATGCCATGTATTACAACAACGTTTAGCACAATTATACTTACAAATTTATAAAATTTTATTTATAGACCTACTAAAAAATTCATAAAATTACTCAAATTATAAATACTATTTTATTTTACAAAACTTAGAGTCACTCAAAATAACCTTGACTTTGAAAAGTTCTTACA